ATTGACCAATGAAAATAACACAATAGACAGATAACCCTCCTCCATCAACATGCAAACCCAGACAAGGCGGTTTTCTATTTAGACTCTGTCTCGCCCTTGTTATCAGGATGTAGGTCACAGTGGGCAACTGAATTGGGCAATGGCAGTGAGGAGAAGGGGCTGGAGTTTCAACACAGGGCCTTGGTCAGTGTCAGGCAGGGTTTGTTTAAGGTTTATTCCAGCACAAAATCCTGCTGTTGTGTGGATCTCAGGCACAGACAGGCTGATCAGGGCTCCCGACTTTTCTAGCTCCGTGTTCGTCAGTATGTGCAGGTGCCCTCATGGCTGTAGAAGTTGAAAGCCTCGTATAAATACCGCATGCCATCCATAAAAACTTAGCTGCCCCACGGCATTTGAACAAGAGCTTGATCTCAGTCTGCCGTGGGTCAACCTGAACTGATCACTGTGGACAGGGAGTTTCCGAGCACCCGTTTGCTTAGTCCTGAGTCACTGTTCACCCCTGGCCTTATTGCTGGGGTGAGAGGAAGTGGCAAGGGCCCTGAAGGTCAGAAAATCTGGCACAACCCGGCCACACTCTGCAGGACGCATGGCAGGACAGCGGAGTCCCAGGGGAGCTACACAGGACCCGCTGAAGTGGAGCCAATGCCTCCCTGGCTACTTGGGTCCCAACCTCTGATTATCCCTCCATGACCCCTGTGAGAAACAGAGGCACACACAGCCCCACACTCTGTAACAAGAGCCCTGGAGCCGCAGGCTAACAGGAGCCAGGCAGTTTACCTCACAGCTTTGCCAAGGCCAGAAGCCCAGGCGGCAGGTGTAGTGATAGACAGCAGAGAAAGTGTTTAAACCCTGAGGCCAGCACCACCCCCACACACTTTCCTCATTAGCCCAGTAATCAGGGGGCACAACCTTACGGGGTCATCTGAGTCTCTGCCACTTAAGTTTGTGTTTTCAGCAAGGACTGGGCTGACTTCAGTCTCTGTTTATTTTACGGTTTGTCAGGTGCATGACTGTCATGTCTGCCAGTTGTTAGGCAAGCTCAGGTGCTAGCAATTTTCTACTGTAAAGTTTAAGTTGTGGGGGTCTAAGCTAATAGAGCCTTTGGGGGTAGCTAGGTTAGCAGCCATTAGCAGGAGTCTCTAGCATTTTCTGTTCATTGATATCTAGGCCTCAAAGTCATTTTCAAAAATGAACCATCAGGGTGGGCATAATGGTGCACGCCTTCAATTCAAGTGCCAGAAGAGGCAGTCGGGTCTCTGTAAGTTCAAGGGCAGCCTGATCTACAAAGAGAGTTTCAGGAGAGCCCAGCCGGGCTACATAGAGAGACCATATCATTCACATGCACGCGTGTGCACGTGTACACACACACACACCAACACCACCAACACCACCAACAACAACAGATAAACAAAAATAAATAAAAACTACTGTCCCTTTGCTCTGATGGAGAGACTCTGGAGAGGTAACAGGGACACCAGCTAAGCAGGAATCTCTCTGGAATGCAGGCAGAGTGACAGGTATGTCCTTCCCTCTCTCCCAGCGCTGCCTGGATTGGAACCGTGACATCCTCAAGAAGGAGCTGGCACTGACTGAGAGGGACATCATTGACCTGCCGGCTCTGTTCAAGATGGATGAAGACCGCCAGGCCAGGGCTTTCTTCCCTAACATGGTGAGACCCTCCAGCCCCAGCCCCTCATGCTACACCCAGCCCAGTCGGACACAGCCAGTCCAGAAAGACCCAGTTGAGTTGCTGTGTGATCCCACCTCTGCCACTTGTCCTCTCTGAGGCCCTCCCTTCCCTGCTAGGGGTGGTAGGCTTAACCTTGCTTTCTCACTAAGTGTCCCCAGACCCTTTAACAGATAGGCAAGTTCTTTGCAGAAGGTCACAGCACAAACGAGGCTTAGCTCAATCTGGGCCTCAGTTTCCCACTTCTAAAGGAGGATCCTGATAACACCTCCTACATAGGACAGTAACAGGTATCTGCAGTCTTGACCCCTGCAGGCAAACAGTGGTTGCTCCCTAAACACTCCCTCCCTCCCAGGTGAACATGATCGTGCTGGACAAGGAACTGGGCATCCCCAAACCTTTCGGGCCTCAGGTGGAGGAGGAATGCTGCTTAGAGACACATGTTCGAAGCTTGCTGGAGCCCCTGGGCCTTGCCTGCACTTTCATTGACGACATCTCTGCCTACCACAAGTTCCTGGGGGAGGTGCACTGTGGCACCAACGTCCGCAGGAAGCCCTTCACCTTTAAGTGGTGGCACATGGTGCCCTGACTGGCAGGGGCCCTGGCCTACCCTCCTCCCCTGTAATCTCCAGGTCCTTCCTGTGCCCCCAAGTCCTTCCCTTTCAAGAAGTGGGTGGGATTGGGGGTATTTGTGCCTTACTGTCCCTGGAAAGGGCCTCCGTGTCCACTGGAGTTACCCCCAGTAAGCCCACCATCCCCCTTGAAAATTGCTGGACACATGGCTGGTGTGCAGAGCTCTGGCAGGGAAAACCAGATTTCAGATTTTGTGTAGTCAGACAGTTCCTCAAGAATCCTCAGCCTCTATTCTAGATCAGAATGAAGGGAGAGAGAAAGGAGGCTCTGGGGTGATTGGCTCTCCCAGCACCTGCTCTTATGTTCAAGGTAGACCCCAAGGACGGGACCAGGGTCCTGGTATACCTTGAATGGCATCACCACTTCACGTTCGCCTCCCTCGGGGCCTCGTGGTGGCTCCCTCCAACCACTCATTCCTTACGTCTCCTGTCTTCCTGCACACACAGAGTCCCCGCTGCCTGAGGGTCCAATCGTTCTGCTTAGAATCTTCTGGAAATAAGTCTTAGCCGAAGAGAGTTCTTCACTCGCTGTGGATACAGGCTGCCCAAATTTGGGAGGGGGGGCTCTCTCCCCAGACCAGCATCCGTGGTCCAAAGTTCAGTATGTAAAGATGCCCTCCCCTGGTCCTCAGTTCTCTGACTAGTCCATGGGCCCCTCTTCCCACCATTCTGCCTACTCTGGACACTGTCTCCTCCCGACAGCTCCATAGTTTCTTCACCACCAGCCAGATGTGGGCCTCCCCAGAGCCTAAGAAATAACCTATCCCTCCTCTCGAAGGTTGGCCACAATGTCCAAGGATGCAGGTGGGGCTCCAGCCTCAGCTGTGGGTTCTCGGCCATCTACTGCTCTGGAGGTAGAATTCCCCAGCACACTTTCCAAAGTCCTTCCATCCAGACACAGGCAAATGTATCCCTTCTGCTTCAATTAGAAAAGCCCCAGGAGCTGGAGAGGTCTTGAAAAGGACCCACGTTCGGTTCCCAGCACTCATAACTGTCTGTAACTCCAGATCCAATGGACACAGTAGCCTTTCTGGCCCCTGAGGGGCACTGCACGCCTGTACACATACTCATATACATAAATAAAAATAAGATTTTTAGGGTCTAGAGAGATGGCCCAGTGGTTAGGAGTACTTGCTGCTCTTGCAGAGGACCTGGGTTCAGTTCCCAGCACCCACAATGGTGCCTCTCAACCACCTCTTAACTCTGGTTCCAGGGGATCTAATGCTCTCTTCTGACCTCCGTGCACTTCTGCACACTCAGGCACACACACATACGAGTAAAATAAATAATATTTTAAAAATGAAAAATAGAATTATTTAAATAAAGAGGGTCCTTTAGGACCAGGAATATAAGAAATATCAATTCTACTTTGAAGGGTTAAACAGCCCCATTTCATAACCGAAGAAAGGGTTACCGTCTTGTGTTTTTAGGGGAACAGGATTTTTACCTTGGATTATTTCCTCAGCTATACAATCAACATAGGTTGCATGCTACTGAGCATCAGGCACAGACTTGGGTTCCAACCGCACAAACTAACTATAGACTTGGCGTGTCCCCTTCAGGCAAAATCCATATTTAAACCCTTTGCCCTTGCTGTGGTGTGCTCTTTAGAAACGCTTCCCCGTGTATTGAAGAAGGACACCAGTCACTGCCTTGAAGAAATAAGGGTGTCTTCTGTAAACAGAGCCCCCTTTCCGTCCAGCTGGGCCCACAGCACCATGTCAGGTCCGCAGGCCCCAGAGCCGCCAAAGCTGTAGTCCTCTGACCCCTGGGGTCGGTCCCTGCCCTTGAGGGTAAAGCCCCAGATCTCTCCAGCCCCAGAGCGGGAAAGCACATGCCCCTCTGAGGGAGTTGATCTGGGGATGTGGGGTTTGTCATGTGTGGTGTTCAGTTAGAGGGCTTTGTGGCTTTTATTTTATCTATAGTAAGGGGAAGTGAGTACCTCCCTCACGGAGGCAGCTTGTCTTTGTAGATTGTGCTATGATTCTCCCTGGCAGCGATGGCTGTTTCAGAACTTTCTGGAACTCGTGGACTTACCAACCTGGTGTGACTCCCCCCGTGTGACTCCCCTACCCGGTGTGACTCCCCCCGTGTGACTCCCCCCAGTGTGATGCTCCCTTGTGGACCCCTTGCTCTTCCCCACCCCCACTTTAACATAGGCCTAGATGCCTCTGGGCTGTACCAGTTCCTGTTTCAGGGTTGATTTTGAAATATTCTGTGGGGGGCAGAGGGCTGGCATGAAGATGGCAAGAACCAGGCAGTTTCAACTTCCTGGAAAAGAAGCCAAGATGGAGGCTGCAAAGTGTTTGGGAAGGAGCCAAAATAAAGAGCAATAAAATGATCCATCCATGACTCTGGGTGTGTGTGCTTTTCGACTTCCTAGGCATGGTCATAAGTGAGCCGGATCACAGGCGGCCCCTCTGTCCAGGTCTGTGAGTTACAGGGCCACTACCCAAGGTCATGACCAATATCCACAGTAATATATTCTTGTTTTAAAGGTGAGTTTAAAGATGCAGGTGTAAGACGAACATTTGGGAGCCAACAATTTGATAGGAAGATACCTCCAGAAGAAACGGGTCCAGGAACTGGGGGAACAGCATTGGAAGGGAAGAAGCAAGCAAGGATGTAATTTCAGGGGCTAGTTCATCCCAGTACCCTTCCCCTGCCCCTAGAAGCTGACCCCCATGGAGCCCAAGTCCCTCTGCATCTGACCCACAGGGCACTAACTCTGATACCTTTGGTACTTGACGAGCAAAGCCACCAGCAGCCCACAGAAATATCTGAAGAAGGTTGTATCTGCTTATTAAGAACAGAGTGGGGGAGGGGGTGGCTGGAAAGATGGCTCAGTAGTTAAAAGCACATGCTACTCTTCCAGAAGACCCGGGTTCGGTTCTTAGCCCCCACATAAGGTGGCTTACTGCCACTTTTGGCCTCTGTAGGCACCTACATGCATACATGTACGCGTAAATAAATTATATTATAATATATTATAATACATTCACATTTAAAAAGAGCAAAGTGAGACCAGTGAGATAGCTCACCAGGTAAAGGTGCTTACTGAAAGTCTGGCAACCTGAATTTTGTCTCTGAAACTACCGTAAAGATGGAAGGAAGGAACTTGCTATACAAAGTTGTCCTCTGACCGCCACATACATGCTGTGGCACCTGAGTCTACATACGCAGTAATAATAATAATAATAATAATAAAGATTTGGCTGGGTAGTAGTGGTTTATGCCTTTAATCCCAGCACTTGGGAGGCAGAGGCAGGCAGATCTTGTGAGTTCAAGGCCAGCCTAGTCTGTGTCGCAGATTAGTTCCAGACCAACCAGGGCTAGACAGCGAGCACCTATCTTGAATAAAAATAAATAAATAAATAAATAATGCATCAATGAACAAAGACACAACACTTAAGTGCTCACTGGCTACAAGTGACTATATTGGAAGGCATAGTTCTAGAATCTTCTCTGCCAGGTTTAGTCCCAATTATGGAAAAATGTACTTTTATCCAATCCCTAGAGTCCATGGCTATAGCCCAGAAAAGAGAAGCCCAGAATGAACATCAGCCCTTTTCCTTCCAGAAAGTCCTCTTGCCCTAACGCCTAGCCATCACCGTGTCCGCAGAGCCAGCTTCTCTCTCAGAAAGGCTGGGGGAAGGATGTGTGCCTTCGGTTATGTCACTGTTGCCCTCTGTTAGGATGGAACCCCCACCACTATGGAATGACAATCATGACCCTCACCTCTGTCCTCTTTCTCCTTGTATGCCCAGAATATAACTTGATTCTGTGTTTTAACATCAAAGGTTGTCTTGCAGGGAAGAGGAGGTACTTGTTCTCAGTCTTCTTTCTCATCATCATTTGCATGGGTGTTTTGTCTGCATGTATGTCTGTGCACCACATACTTGCGCGGTGCCTGCAGAGGCAAGAAGAGGGAGCCGGTCCCCTGGAACTGAGTTACAGTTGTGAGCTGCGATGTGGGTGCTGGGAATCTAACCCAGGTCCTCTGGAAGAGCAGCCATCTCTCCAGCTGCAAGACCATCTTTATTACAACCCTGGTCAAGACCCAAGAGATCCTCAACAGCCTCAGGCCCACACGTCAAGACCCACCCCTTCCACAGACTACTGCTCAGGAAAGGTGGGTTGGATGCCTTTGCCGTTCCGTTTCCTATGGATGGCTATTCTAGGCATTTGGTCTGCGCTCACAAAATACATCTGAACGAAACTGAAGCATCTGTTCAGATGCCCACGGGAGAGGGAAGATCAGTCAGTTTCTTCCTTTTCTAGTGTTTATCTCAAAGATCCAAGGAGAAAGACCACCGACCCAACTAATCATGGCCAAATTAGCTGAAGCAAGCAATTAATTGAAGCAAGCTTTTTTTTTTTTTAATGTGTACACGTGGGTTGTTTCCCCCTAAGGTGGGGTTCAAGAGATCGTCACTGAACATGAGGAAGATGGAGTTTTTATAGCTCAGGAGTAAGGGTTTCCAAATGGGGGAAATACGCAGGCTTACAGCAGCAGGACATAGCATAGTAAGTTGATCACAACAACCTCTGAAACAAAGACATGACCACAAGGAGGTCGTAACAAGGTAATCCTAAAGGGGTAGTCATGACAGAAAGTAGTCATAATAACCTTTTGAACACAGGTAGTTTTGCAAGATGGTCATTACAGCTTTTTGAAACATAGCCATAGCCGCTCCCCGGAACAGGCAGCCCAGTACCTTTTGTAGTTAAGGTTACAGGTGAGGCATAGCCCAGTCCTTGAGAAACAGAGGTTTAATCACAGACAGGAATGAACCTAGTTTGTCTTTACCATAGGATGATTTTTAACCCTAATATGCAGGCAGGCTGGTTTTCACCACTTATTTTCTGGTTTTTTATTTATATATTTTATTTATTTCTACAGACCAAGCACAGATTTATCAGGAAAAGTGAAAAAGAACTCCCTAGAGTGGGAGGAGTTCTAAGTGAGAAATATGCTTGATTGTCTTCTTTTCCTTTTTGGTATTGGAGATCGAAACTAAGGTTTCAACATTCTAGGCAAGGGCTCTACTCTACTACTAAGTGACAACCCCCTCCAACTAGCTTCCCCTTTTTCTTCTTTTTC